ACTCGAACGTGAGGCCGACAATGCATGCTGGGTAGAGAGGCCGAAAATGCCAAAGGGAAATCGGCCCACTGTCTGAATCTGGCCGCAGGCCTTGATGAAGGAGGCGCAACTGCATTGCCCCGGGGCCCAACTGTATCGAGTTGGCTTCAGCCTCTGGGCCCCGGTCACAGGCTGAAGGGAGGCCGCCCACACGCTGCACTGGCATATAGGCAAGCAGGGTGAGGTAGCAGGGATCTTGGCCATTGCGGGCAATGCCGGCACGCTGCGCAAATGCGAGCTGCTGGCTGCTGCGCTGCGCTAAGAGGTAGTGCAAGGCAGGCATGCGCTAGGCGGTAGGGCGCTGCCYGTGCACTGGGCGCTTGGCGGCCATAGCCGGGCTGCAGAGGGCGCAGAGGGATGAAGGGCGAAGGTGGTACTTCGGAGGTGAAGGGCGCTGTGTGGGTAACAAGGGAGCGTGTGGGGAAGAGGACACATACCTGGTGATGGTGGAGGTCTGCATTGGTGTTGACATCATCACTCGCTGGTAGTCAAGTTGTCTGGTTGCTGTTCATTGCTGTAGTTGTAGGATAGGCTGCAGAGTAGATAGGGCGCCTGGCGCCATTCACAAGAGAGAGCTACATTTGGTTTATGCTGTTGGTGTTGCCCTGTTGGGCATGGACATTGACTCACGATTCTTCTGTATCATTCTGAATGGGATGGTTACTTGGTTCCATGTGCTATCTGCTTTGGCTTTGAATACTTGGACTTCAGTGTGATTTTACATTCTGGATTTCTGTGCTTCGTCCATACTCATGTTCCTTGCACTGTTGTTAGCCAGCTGTTTAGGGGTCCAGAGGATGCGCTGTGTGATTGGTTGGAGCTCATATGCATTAAAACTAGTTCACTTATGAATCTGTCAAAGAAATGTTTTGCATTGACCTTAGTGCTTAAATATCGCACTAAGTTCAAAAGAAGCATGCTGAAGAAATTTGGTTACATTCTAGGTTTTAGCACTGGTTAGCTGGTTATGGTTTGCATCATGTTTTGTCTCGAAGCGCGACCTCATGTTGTTTGCATCTCCATTATCCTTCTGAAGTTTCCAGCCTGTGTTGCAGGTGGGAGGACGCAGTGACTGGCCTGGGCTCAGGCAGCAGCAGCAATCAACGGACGCAAACTCAACAAAGGCGATCGTCCACCGGCTCGCAATCCGGCAGTATAGCAGGTAGCCAATCTGAACATGGAGATGGCAGTCCCATGAGAGGACGAGGAAGAGGCAGAGGCAGAGGCAGAGGCTCCAGTACAAGCATCTCTCAACCGGGACGATTTGTGTTTGCCACTGGCGAATCTGCGGCACCGAATACGTGTTATGCATGTGGCCAAGAGGGTCATTGGGCCAACAATTGCCCCAACCGAGGATAACCCCACCACGTGTCGTTGTATCTCATTTCTTTCTCTTGTCTTTATGTTATGTTTTTTTAACTTCTTTCCAATGCCACCCTTGTCAAGCAGGAAGTTAGCACCTCCCAATGTGAATATTTCATGCGGATTTTTGTTGAGGATGAATTACAAATATCCTTGCACAGGAGTATTCGAGTACATCGACACGAAATCATTCCGGCTTTTCAATTGGAGTGAAAAAGGAGACAGACAACGAAACTGCTCAGTAAACTGTAGGCAAAGAGGGAGACGAGGACAACAAACGAGGGGCTGTGACAGGCTGTAGCCTCCTGATGAGTCGGTGAAACTCCGACGGAGCAGTCTTTCAGAGCCCCTCGTTTGTTGTCTTCTTCTCCTTCTCTGCCTACAGTTTACCAGGCATTTTTATTTGACGATATATAACACGACTTCAATAGCACCCTGCTACAGGTTTCTCTGGTTGAGGGTCCGTGGTCGGGGGTGTCACTACACAGTCATGCTGTTGCCTCTAATCATCTAATGCCAGTTTTTTTTTTTTTTTTTTTTGCTCCAGTCTATTCGTGGGGAGCAGCACGTGTTGGGAACCGGGCCCAGCGTCCCTTAATGCCAGTGGTGTGTCTGGAGTGTATTTTCTGGCTGTGACAAACCTACCTTTGTTTGGTGGGTGTTTCGCTGGCTTGTGATGGGGTGTGGACCTGCAGTCTGTACAGTTTCCGTCTGGTGTGGGTGAGCGATAGTCTGCTCTTATTTTTTTCATCAGAGTTCACCACAAGGTATCAGTTGTCGGGCAGTCGTTGATGCTTAACCATAACCGGGGCAAAGGTGGATTATCACTTGCAGTGTCATTGGTTAGGGGGCTCTGCAGACTGTAGTGGGTTCAGCCTCTTGACGAGTCGATCAAACTCCAACGAAACAGTATGTCACAGCCCCTCGTTTGTTGTCCTCTTCTCCCTCTCTGCCTACAGTTTACCAGGCATTTCTGTTTGACGGCATATACCGCCAAACATATAAAAGAAGAGTGATAGAAAAGAATGGTTCAGTGTGCTCTTCATGTTTGCCGTGTATATTTTATCGTTTGTTTCGCGTAGTGTGCTCTTTTAGTTCATAGACATGTGGCAATATATATACGATACATGCGGCGCATCACGTGCACGCAAGTTCTGCACGTGCACCGCATAGCGCACACGCACGCGTGCGCACGTACGTGATTGCGGCGCATTTTCAACCAAAAAAAAAAAAAAAAACAATCAAAAAGGGCAGGCTGTGGTAACCAAATGTGTCCCTCCCTTTTGAAAAATGTAGGTGCACACTGCACAGAAAGAAAAAAAAATTGGGGCCACGTCGTACTGCTCATTGGGTCTAGTCTCTTTTCCCAAAGGTCCCCTCCCATGCATTTCAAAGGACGTTCATTGAACTGCTGGAGGAAAATGAGCAGGCCAGCAATATATTCTGGATTCGGATTCAGGTCTGTGTTCCAAGAGTTATGGGTTACGAACTTACTGCAAACACTACAGTAGCTGTCTCGTTTTTTTGTTTTTCCGTTCCTTACGTGCAGTGACCAGTCCTGAAAATCACATGCCGAGTTAGTAAGTCAGTAAACCATAACTGCTGAAACACAGACCTGAAATCGAAGCTACACCATATATATCTGGCCTGCTCTCTCCTTACTACAAGTCCAGTGACTACCCTTCTCCTGCCGATGAGACCCTTGCTAATTTTTGACAGGGACATTTTGAAGTACCAGCAGCGGTTATCTGAATAATTTGGAAGGGCTCTTTGCTCTCTCTCTCTCTCTCTCTCTCTCTCTCTCTCTCCTGTCTCTTATACACATCTAGATGTGTATAAGAGACAGGCTATATACTCTGGCGATATGTAGAGAAAGAAACAAGGGAGGGGTTGTTGTGACAGAACCTTTCGTTGGACTTTTACCGACTCATATATAATCTATATAAATTGTCGGTGAAACTCCGACGAAACAGTTTGTCACAGCCCCTCGTTTCTTGTCCTTTTCTCCCTCTCCTCCTATGGTTTACCGGGCAGCTCTGTCTGACGTTATATATATATATATATATGACGATATATATGTATATTGTCACATAACTATGAACTAATATATTCAGCCTCCTGATGAGTCGGTGAAACTCCGACGAAACAGTTTGTCACAGCCCCTCGTTTGTTGTCCTCTTCTCTCTCTCTGCCTACGGTTTTACCGGGCAGTTCTGTTTGTGACGATATATATAATAATATATATATAATGTGACAATACCTGAATGGTTTTTGTCCTGTAGATGAGCGGGAGGGCTGCTACCATCGCCCGCATCCTTATGACAGTTGTCCTATCTGCCGTGAGGGTCTTACTTAGACGTACCTTGCACCCTGACAAAAATGTGCAGGTGCACTGAAAAGAGTGTACAAGAATGTGCAAAGGTGGGAAACCCTTCACTAAAACTGCAAAACAGTGAAGAATGCAGTAAAAGAAGAACATAAGTTTGTGTCATTTTACTTTGTGTACCCTGCACCCTAACACCCTCAAAGGAAAAGTCCGAAGGGTGAAAATGAGAATGAAAAATGAAGAAGTGGAGGTGCGCTGAAAACCGAACGTGGTAGACTCTTCACCAAAACTGCAAAACTGTGAAAGAAAGAAGAATGCAGTAAAAGAAAGAAGATATTTGTGTCAATTTTCTCTTCCTTGTGTTTAACACCTCTTCCTTCACTCTGCCTCTTTCCCATAGCGTGAAAGTGGGCTGTTATGGCATACGGGGATGGGGGCAGCTCGCTCTCAACTTCATCAACGTGGCGAGCCTTGACCGTTAGAGGCACGGTGGAGGAGACGTTAAGAAGACTGAGAAACTGAATGATTTCAATGTGTCTTTGTTGATTTTTTTTTATTATTTTTTTTTTTCTTAAACAGAACCCCAATGTTCTGGCTCCTACCATTCTGGGGAGCAACAGTCCGGTTCCTATTCCCCCGGCAAGTCAATGATGAATACAATAAGGATACGCATACGCTCCTCCCCATTATGGCTGGGAGGCCCGAGTGGACGGCGTCGATTACTTCCTTTTGGAAGGATGTACCACCCCTCACCCCTGCCTAAGTTAGCCTGCTTGAACTTAGGACCTGACCCTGTAGGTAGGCTGGGTTCTGCTACTTCTGTTTGTGGTTTGTGGCATGTCTGTGTAGGTCTTGACCAGCTTACTCCTCTCAGCTGTTCGGCTGCCGGATCAGAATTAAGTACTGAAGTTACTGGCCAGACTCATTAACTGTTGGTTTTGCTAAGTAGATAGGACCTTAGGGGGTCCGGCATTGGTAATGTTTTGAATTTTTCTGTCAGTCTGAAGTTGTAGATAGCTTCTAAGGCCTATGCCCTACACGCTAAACCCTAACCCCTTACTCTCTCTCTCTACCCGTTTCTGGATTTTTCTAGTGCTGGAACTGCTGATGCGTCCTCCTATGGTGAAAATCTGTATGGGCTGTGCTCTGCGGGGCTGTATTTGCTCTGTTCCTTACTAAAACCCTAAACCCTAGCTCCCGTGGTGATAATCTGTATGGGCCGTGCTCTTGTAGGTCGTTTCTGTTCTTGTTGGTATAGCCATTTAGAAACCCTACGGGGGGTAGGGCTCTCGTGGTTCTTTTTGTTATTCCTGGTAGGTGGTAAGGTTATTCTGTGTTCCATTGGTGGGGTTGATGTGATTGTTTTTGGCTCTTATGGCCTGAGCTTTCCTCCACCAAGTTTCTGTATCCCGAGCTTATTATCCTAGCTGTCTTTTCCTGCCGCCATAGGGTTTCGCCCTTGATGCTTGGCTCTATCGTGTTTGAGGCTGCTTCTGTTCTCTTCTATTTGAGTAGTCTTTTGTGCTAGCTAGCTGTGGGTCTTATTTTTGGGAGACCTTATTCTTTTGCTTCCTTAAACCCTCAAATTTTGTTCTCTTTCTTTCTATTGTTTCCTTGTTATAGTTGATCGTTCCCTATTTTGATTTCTGATTCCAATACTAGTTTGTTTTCTATTTTTCCAGTGGTATTCCGGATGGTTTATCTGAGTAAGAGATTGATTCCTGTCTTTGTGACTATTTGTCTGTTTCCATGTGATCCGTTGGTTGGTTGTGCTCTTCCCTGTCCGCCGTTCTGTTTGCACCAGTCTGTGAAGTGCAGTGCGCTGCCTGTGACCTTGGCTATTAGCTCGCCCTTTAGCCATACCTCGTCGGATTGTTTTTTAATTTTAATTTTCTTTGTGTTTTCTGTTTGCTTGTCCATCTTGTTTAGGGTGTGCTTCCATTCCACTCTGATTTCCGCTTCCATCAACCCTCTTGCCTCTTCCCACGCTTCATTCGTTGAAATGGTCCTTTTCCCTAGTGTGCCTCCACATCTCGCTTTCCATGTCACCCACAGTGTGTTTTTTCTGAGAAGTTCTAGTATCGGGTTGTTTTCTTCAATGGTTGTGCCTTTTCTTTGTCTATAACTGTTAGGCGAAAGACTTGGTCCTTAGGGTACTCCTTCGATGTTAGTTTATGCCAGGTTTTTGAGCATTTGTCCCATAAGGCCTCTGCGTGAGGGCAGCTTATTAAGCAATGTGTCAGGGTTTCTGGACGATTCCCTGTGCACATTTTACGATGGGATGAGGTCTCCGTTCTATCACCCTCTTTGCGTCTTACGTCCAACCATGCGTTTACTGGCACAGCTAGGTGCATTATCAGCCATTGTAGTAGGCTTCTTACTTTTTGCGGTCTGATTGAGGAATAGTAGGTCCAAGGTATACTTTGCAGCCATGAGGGGTCCGTTTGTGTTTTATTTTTATCCCTTTTTCAGTGTAATTGTTTTTTGTAAAACACTGAAAGAAATAAGAATACAGTGAAACAAAGAATAAGAGGACACTGTTTTGTGCCATTCTGGTTTGTCTGTCTCTACCTGTCTGTCCTTTCAGTTTTCTTTTCTTCGCTCATCTTATTTCTTCTTCTGCTTCACGTGCTTACCCTCTTAGTCAATAGTTTTGTGACAATATATATCATATATCAACCTCATCAACATGTCGAGCCTTGTATGTGAGAGGCACGGTGAAGGGGGAGTTAAAAGAAGAATGAGAAAAATGAATGGTTTCAGTGTGCCCTTCATGTTTGTCTTGTTTTTTATTTTTTTGTTTCTGCCGTTTGTTTCGCAAAGTGCGCTCTTTTAGTTCATAGTTATGTGACAATATATACATGTGGTCTGACGGCAACTAATATCTGTCTTCATATTCTCCACCGCCCGTTTTATACACCATCAGACTTCCTT